TGTTCTTTGAAGAAGAGAATAAAATAATTCATTGTACTTTCTTACTTATTTACATGATAGCAACAATCTCAATTTTGTTTCTGAAGAGCATGAGTTAACAAAATTGTGATTATTGTGATTATAGTCAACTTTGGTCTGTAGTTCTTACATCTTTTGAATAATAATAATGAAGAATGTCTTTAATAGTGTGTAGTGGATGATACTTTATAGAGGATAAACTTTCTATTAATTGACTTCAGCAATCCTTTTACCTCTCAATTTTACATTGTCCAGAAGAATAACCAGAAACATACATTAAGAATGTCCAGGAAAGAGACTTCCTGTGATTATCTTCTCCAATTAATGTGAGAATTTGCTACTCTGCAAAACAATCAGTCCTCTCTATGGCGTGCTATTAAAGATCAGGAGAAAGAGACCAGGGGTGGGGAATAACATACAAAGAGAGGAGAGGAGATGGGAGGGGAAAAAAAGAGGGACGGAGAGAAAGAGAATTGAGACAGGAGTAGGAAGAGGAAGAAAGGGAGGACATAACTGGGGAAGGAACAGAAGTAGACTCCACAGCCTAAATCAAATGCTCTCAAGACAAGAGACAGAAATACCCCAGAAGCCTACTGTCTAGGTTCAAGCCTCAGATCCTATCATTTATTAGTATGTGACATTGGCCATTATTGGGGTCCCCTAAACCTTGGTCTTTTTAGCTATAAAATGGGAATAATGGTTCCTACTTCTTATAATGATGATTTAAAAACCTAGTAAATATAAAGCACTATTCAGACTACATGGCAATACAGATTGAGTATCCATTATCTGAAATGCTTAGAACCAGAAGTATGTGGGAATACTTGCATATACATAATGAGATATCTGGGGATGAAACCCAAGTCCAGACACAAACTTCATTTATATTTCATACACACTTTATATGCATAGCTTAATTTCATACAACTTTTCAATATTTTGTACATGAAACAATTGTTTCGTGGTATGGAATTTTCCATTTGTGGCAATTTTCCATTGGTTGGTGCTCAGAAAGTTTTAGATTTTGGAGCAATTTGAATTTTGGGTTACAGATGCTCAACCTGTAGTACTCAGTAAACTTTAAATAGTCTTATTATGGTAAATAAATACATCAAACTATTCATTTACTCTACTTATTAACTAAAGAATATCCATTATAGTTGATGTAATCTATAAAATGGATTTTTTTCCTGAAAGAAATGTACTCTCTTTTATAATTTTTTGGAGTTCATTATTCCACCCGTCACTTAGGAAAAGCTGACAGTCCTCTTCCTTCATGAGGTTCTCTTTCACCTGGTTCCTTCTGGCTCCCCATCCCCTCCTCTCCCAGGCCTGAGCTTGCTCTGCCCTGAAGGAGGTGGAGCCCAATCCTCTGCACCCTCCTTTGTGTGTTGCTGCTCTTCCAAGGTTCAGATTCCAAAAGCATCCAGCAAATCATTTGGCCAAGCCAGAGTCCAGGCACAGTTGTCATGTGGCCCTTTCCCCTGGGCCATTTAGCAGTCACAAGACTGCAATATGTGCAGTTAGGAAAAAGACAGGCTGTATTGAACAAGGTTTGTCAACAAACCTCTTCTGACTTGCCAGCCATTTCAATCCTGTGCCTAAAAATTTCTCCCCAGGCAAAGAAAAGCTCCCATAATCATTGGAAATTTGCAACATTTGAAATATCGTCCCAGTGAAGATCCAAAACAGACTATGAAATTGTCAATGGTCACCTCTTAGAATCATAACATTTTTCAACTGTGCATGTTTAGAAGTGCTCCAGTACAGTTCCTTCATTTCATAGAGGAGGAAACTGGGGTCCAGAGAGATTGTTCATTTGTCTGAGGTCACACTCCAGGGCTTTTGCAGCTGGGACCTGATTCCTGGACCTGAAACTTTCCATTGGATCCCACTCTCTTTCTTCTTTGTTTGATTCAGGGATGAAGAGAGTATTGGGTTCTGTCATGCTTGTCCCTTTATAGAATACAGTTCAAACAAATGTCATATTATAGGGACGGTTGACAAAAGGAGGAAACACCTCCTCATTGAGATCTGCACATATTGCAATAGGCAAATGTCTTCTATTTAAATTGGTTGTGTACAAATTGAATTTACATAATTAGGAACACATTCAAAACTAGGATAGGAATTAATATATACCAAAAACTATTACTCTTTATCTATAAAATTTACTTCTAAGATTTCAAATAAGGACAAGGTAAACCTCAAGATGTTCAGTTCTCACCATCCAGGGTGTGTGTGTGTGTGTGTGTGTGTGTGTGTGTGTGTGTGTGTACACACGTGTGCATATGTGTCTGTGTTTATCTTGTCAGTATATGACAGATCACAATTTTCAGTTGGTGAAGTTTCCTGCAAATAAGGAAAGGGCTGGTCCTTTTCAGAGATTGCCTTAATGACTGCCCCTTCCTCTCCATCTGCCATTGGTCAAGCTGGAAATCCACCTGGGATACAGCCCAGTCCTGGGGCTTTGCAGTCCATGTTGTTAAATCTGAGCACAGATTAATGATAGAGCATTTTGCTTATTTATTTGGCTAAATATGAGGGTTATAATAAAAAAAGAAGAATGTCAAATCTATGCACCCTCTATGCTCCTCAGCATACTTATTCTAAGCTGCAAACTATGAACCTTAGTTGACTGATTAGTCCTCAATCCCATTACTGAAAGAGTTACTGTGAGAGTTGGGGTGGACAAATTTAATTCATTTCCCACATATACACTAACATTTGATCCAGCTTGGAATAAACATAAAAAAAGGAGGCTATAAAGTAAAAGTTACAAAAAAGGGAGAGAAAGAAGAAAAGGAGTCAGATGATTCCATCCAAAACTCAAAATTGAGGTAATTACCACCACTGAACACTGAATTTACCCTGGACTTGCTGACTTCAGATGATGCAAAGGAAACTCAGCTCCTTGTTTTATGTCTTTGCTACTGCATAAATAGTATTTGCTTATCTCATTTAATTCCCTTTGGTCCATATATTTTGAACCAAAGAAAATTGTGTATGTAAAGGGTTTCCTGAGCTGCCTGGTTGTAAGCCAGAACTGTTGAAACCAACGTAATGAAATTACATTATGCACAAATTAAAGACCTACATTCTCTTATCCAAAACCACTAGGAAAAAAAAATTGAGAATTACTCAGGGTTTAAAAATGTAATCAATTATATAGAACCTATGTTATGCATCATCTGTGTAAGGGCTGTATCCCAGGTGGATTTCTCTGCAACATACAGGATCATTACTGACACCCATATAGCAAACGACAGGTGAACAAAAGGAAAGCATTACAAGTGTATTTGATCATGAATTACATGGCATGAGAGCCTACAGATATAAAACCCAAAGACTCAGGGTGAACTATTATTTTCATGCTTCAGTTCAATGAAGCATGGACAGCTGTATAAAATTATGATTGGATACAAAGGATATGAGATAATGGAAATGAAACAAGACAAGGCCTTTTTGTCTGTGTTTTGGCTTTGTTTTTGCAGTGCTGGGGATGGAACCCAGCGCCTCTCTCACACTGGATGTAACACTCTACTGATGAGCTACACCCCAGCTCTGATTGAGTTGGGGGGATCCAGCCTGTCTGTTCAGATTCCTCTGGGCCTCTCAGTTGTACCTTTACTTTTTTTTTTTTCCTAGAGGGGGGGTTTTCTGACTTACAATCAAATAGGTCAGATAATTTTTTAATGGCTAGTTTTTATACAAAAAGATGAGGGAATGTCAAAGTAATGTTTTTAGTATTTATGGCTGGCGTTGGAGGAAATGTGTCCTGGTTTCTGTGGCCTGTTTGGGGGAAGTGGAATGCTGATTTCTATGGCTTGTCTCAAGGGAGGACCTGGAGTGAGACCCAAGAGCTGGAGAAAGTCAGAGAAACTTGGCTTCTGAGGCTGCTTCTTAGGGCTTCTCTTTGGGGTATCATTGTCTGAGCCCCAACATCTGTTATATATCATCTCCACAGAGTTTGGGGCAGCATCTTCTAATCGAACATATTACTATTTCTGAAATAAAATGCATGAAGGGGTCACATTCCCTGGAATATATGAAGTCTCTAAATATCCCCACATTAGATCATACAAAATTTTACACCAACGGAGTTTGTCAAAAATTTATAGAAAAAAAATAAAAGCTTTCAGAGCTTTTCAAATTTGAGAAAATAAAGGGACAAAGGGATGGTATACATGTATATACACACAACAACAACAACTACACATAAGTATGAAGTAGGAGTAATAAAACTTTGCCACTTAATATCTGTTTGATCTGGAACACGTCATATCAATTGGAGCTATATTGTTGAACACACAAAAATGGGGAATTAACCAAAAGCTAAACTGTGACTAAGTGTTGCGAATACTCTTTGTTGCACCCCTGGTAAATGAGCATGGCCAGGAGGTTAGGGCCTGAGCACCCTCACAGCTCAGCTGGTGACTTTCCATGTGACCCCAGGAAAGTCATTTTGTTTCCCTGGTCCTCAAATTTCCCTTTTGTCAAGTGAGGTGATTGGAATTACAATCTCTAAGGACCTTCAGTTTCAGAATCTCTGCCTTGAAAGTTTTTTGGTTTTGTTCATGTTTATAGTTGAATTTTTAAAATCAATACCCAGTAATAACAATGTGTTATAAATCATAATCTTGGCCAATGTCTCTACTTTTACACAATTGTATATGATACTTGGGCTTCAGTGTTGAATTACAAGAGTTGGGGCAATTGTTTCCCTTCTCATTTCCAAATTCATTGTTTTACGTATAAGCAGCATGAACAAATAAGCATGAGAATAAAAACAGACCGTTCCAACTCCCTTCAGCTGGAATTTGAAGAACTCTCTATCTTCCTTTATGGGGCCTGGTGGCCTTAAAATAAGAGCAGAAAGTGCCACAAGATTATTTCTCAATTCTGAAAATATTTGCAAGTGATCTTGCCAAAGTATTAGTCAGATATGCTAATTGAAAACTCCAGATGGCAGCATCGGTTACCTTGCTTTGCTCGTGTTCCTCTTTGAAATCTTGCCCTCCTAAGAAAACACATTGAAAAGATATCTCTTTGAAACATTATCTTGGGCATGGAAATTAGCTTCTCATGGTTTTAGACAGCAAATTTGTACACGTGGCCTCTTTGTACCATGACTTTTTTGATAGTTTCAAATTATAAAGAGTGAATTTTGGAGTAGCCCAATGGTCAGATGTAGTAAATTGAGTTTCTATAAAAAAAAAAAAATACCAGATTTGAATTTTACTGAACTTCTGGAACTCAAAGGGACAGTTACTGGATTTTCTAAAATCCTCTTGAAGTTGATCCAAGTTCAAAGTTTCCAATGACCTTGAATGGGACTTTGTGATCTTGTCAGTTGTTTAGTTAGAAGAAATAAAATAAGAATTTAGGTAAACATTTGTTTGTGTGGACAACACAAGCTCTGGTTGTCATTGCATGACATAAAGTTGTCATTTGTAATTCTCCATGATTGATATTTTTGCTGGTGTGCACTTCACCTTTATATGAAAAGTATATCCTAATATTGTGTACACACACACACACACACACATATATATACATATTCAATAACTTCCCCATCCTCTGTACTCAAAACTGGCAACATATATTACTTTAATTACTTAGTTGCTTCAAATGCTAAAGAACTTTACTATTTTAATATGTTTTATCTTACTTAACAGTTTGAGACCAAGTCTCCAAATCCAGCTTGATTTTGTACCTTCTAATATGTTTACAGTTGACCCTACACATCCATAGGATCCACATTGAATCAACCACAGATTAAAAACATTCAAAAAATAGTTTTGTTTTTACTATACATATACAAACTTTTTCTTATTATTTCATAAATAATACAAATTAACAACCATTTATATAGCGTTTCTATTGTATTAGATATATTAATAATCTAGAAATAGTCATCAGTATATGTACATAGGTTATACGCAAATACTATGCTATTTTATATAAGAGTTTGAGCATACATGGATTGGTATCCTCAGGAGTTCTGGAACCAGTCGTCCTTGGAAACAGAGAGATGATTCTGTTTCCCTCTGTATGTTCTAATTAAATGGAAGTTGGAAAGAAATACAAGAATTAAGCGGTTCATCTTTTCACCCCTTTCAACTCTTATCCCAAGGTCTTTCCTATATTGCTGAACAGTGGCCTAAATCTAACATACCAGTCGTGTGTATGTTTGTGTGTATGTGTGTGTGTGTGTGTGTGTTCCACTATAAAAACACACTTTGATGTACAGTTTATCCAACTACATATTATTGTCATAATCTACTTGCAGTTTATCTTATCTTTCCTAACTTAAAGAACAT